TCGGGGGTTTAAGTGGAGAGAAAATGTTTTGAGAAACGATGTACAAATGCACTTTACACAATTGATGTGTGTATGGATTGGGATAACAGTTGTATGGACCCCTAATAAAATGATTTTTTTTAAAAAGGAGGCTCAGCATCTCCAGCCATCAGTGAAAAGCAGACCACCGTGAACAATCACGCCCACTAAGATGGCTAAGGGGCACTGATGGCATAGTGGTTACCTGTTGGACTACAAGGTTAGTAGTTCAAAGCTACCAGTGGCAACTCTTTACCAGTGCTCCGGTAAAGTTAGTCGCCAGGAGAATAAACTGATCCCTGCCTCAGAGGTGCCTGCACCCTTGAACTGCAGACTGGGGTACTCGGATTGGGGCGGAAGCACACTAGACCTTGGGGGGAACTCTTGGTTTGGTGTGAGTCCAATCAAAAGGGACCCAGAATTACTATATATTTAGTACACTGACGTCCCCTTTGCAGCCACATGACAGGTTTTGAACTGTTGAGCAGGCATTTGGACTTAGAAGAATTGATTAAGGAAGTTTCCCCATGGCACCAATCCCCTTGTTTAGGGTAAACAGAGCTCAATTGAACGGGAGATCAAACCATGTGGAGCAACGACTCATGGGTTGCAGCTCATGGTGGTACTGTATTGGCATAGACTCCTCGTACCCACAGTGTCCAGAGTGATGTCATTGGAAAAACTGATGATGTTACACATGCAATCACCTTATACCCCAGGAGGGTGATTGACAATGTTATATGTTTATGTTTCTATAGATTTTTGTTTTCTTTGCCTCGTTTGCTTTTGTATGTTTGTCTTGTTGTCTGCTAGTTGGTTTGTTGCTGTTGGTGGGGTAGTTGAAGGTCTTACGGAGTTTTTAATTTTCTATTAATACGACCGCCAAAGTAAACCTGAGTCGGGCATATCCCAGGAATAAGCAGGGGGATTCTGGGCCCCATTGAACTCTAGCCCCAACCCAAGAACAGTCAAGTTCTGATAACATGGCCCTCCCTGCACTATACTCACCTTCATGTAATAATCACTGAAGATAAGGGTGCTACACCAAAGTGTGGTGAAGAAAAATAGATGGTACCCGGCTATCAATTGGAATAGTGTCTGGGGTCTTAAAGGTTTGTATTCAAACAAGCAGCCATCTAAGTGAGGAGTCAACTAAGTTCACACGGAAGAAGCTTGTGTGATCACAAAATTCAAATATGACAAAAGGATTAAAGTATCAGAGCCAAATTGCAAACACCCAATTTGTAGAAGGCTAAGGAGGACAGTGGGAGCCGAAAACCCATCTTCAGAGGATATAGTCAGATTAAGTCGCTAGCGGATCCCCTCTAGCCACAGGCAAGGGTCTTAAATAGCCTTACTATAAGACAGAGATTTGGATTATGCTTGACTATGCTGGACCAACTTGATACTTGGTCAGCTGACCTCTGTATTGATCCAACCTGAAATTGTTCTAGGTGCAAGTATTTCTTGCTTGTTCCGTGACAAAAATTTCCTCCCGGGCCTTTTAAATATTCATGGTGGTCTTTTCGTTCTTACTCATTATTGTATTTTTATCATTATATTATTATTATTTATCCTTACCACTTTGTTTTGTTTTTTTACCTCTGTTGGGTTTTCTAGTTTGTGAAGCACAGAAGTAGATGCACAGAGATAAGAACTGATGCAAGGGCTTATCGGGGAGGTAAGAGATAGGGTGAGGGGGTTGGCAGAGCAAACAATGTATGTGGGGGTGGGGAGCACTAGAATTGGTGATTACACAACTCATTTAAAAAAATGATTTAACCATGGGGGTAGTGGGGAGAAAAGAAAATGTTCTAAAAGTAATTGTGGTAATGACTGTACAACACTTCTTAATATGATTGAACTATTGAATTGTGTGATATGTGGATTGAGTGCCAAGAAAACTGTTTAAAAACAAAAAAAATGGAGGTTAAAAAATAATAATAAATATAGAGCTATAGTCTCAGAAACCCACAGGAGCTGTTCTACCTTGTCCTATAGGGTCACTATGCGTCAGAATCAACTCGATGGCAATGAGAAGAAGGCT